AACATTAGTAATAATAGATTATGCATCTTAGTTGGCTGATAAGCCTACACGACTCGTAATATAGTTACTGAGTTAGTTTTTGCCACTTTGAACAAAATAGTGTGACTTTTGCCAGTGATAAGTACTCAGTCAATTGATATTCATTCTGCGTTGACCGCGAAGTAATTTGGAAGCTACTCGAGTACTACGGCGTACTTCAAATATTCATCAACCTTATTCAACAGCTGTACGACAACGGCACATGTCAAGTGATCCACAACGGAAAACTCAGCGAGGCGTTTGGAGTCAGACAAGGGTGCTTATTATCACCAATGATATTCCTAATTGTGGTGGACTGGATTATTCGTGAGACAGTGGGAAACGAGAAGACAGGGATATCCTGGACCGACGTGAAGAACCTAGAAGACCTGGATTTCGCGGATGACTTATGTTTGATGTCACACAAAATCGAAGACTTACAAGCGAAAACCGACAAACTGGTTGAAGAAGCAGCCAGAGAAGACAGGACTCCAGGTGAACATAGACAAGACGGAGGTTGTGAAAATAACCAACAACAACAACAACTGCAGCAATATCCAGCGCCAACCACCATCAACGGGAGGGATTTGAAAGAGATTACTTCATTCACTTATCATCTAGGGAGCATTGTCTCAACTACAGGAGGAACGGACGACGATGTCAAATCGAGAATCGGGAAGGCGAGAAACACATTCATCAACCTGAAACCAATCTGGAAATCTTCGTCACCCAGCCTGCATCAACAACAAAATTCGGATTTTTAATACAAACGTCAAGTCAGTCAGTTCTTCTATACGGATCAGAAACTTGGCGGCGGGTCACAAAGAATATTTATTTCCAACAGCCTGTTGCAGACCTTTATCAACAACTGTCTTCGCTCCATACTGAAGATCAGATAGTCGGAGAGAATCACCAACAAGAAACTATGGGAACAAACAAACCAAGAACCAATCGCCCAACAAATATGCAGGAGAAAGTGGAGATGGATTGGACACTCGCTGAGGAGGCCGCTGGGTGACATCGCGCGTCAGGCCATAGCTCGAGTGGAGCCCGAAAGGGAAGCCGCAAATGGGACGTCCAAGGGTGACATGGAGGAGATCGTGTGAAGAGGATTTGAAACAGTATGGATTAACATGGATGCAGGTGAAAAGTACAGCAGAAGACATGAGCAAGTAGAGACGTGTAGTTGAAGCCCTATGTTCCACTAGTAACCCAAGGGAACAATAATAATAATAATATTATTATTTAGGAGAAATTACTAATTCATGCACTCTATTACCATATACCATTAATCGTATTTATCGTTTCTGTAAAATAAGGAATAAAAATAGAGAAAAATAATCACAAAAGTTAATATAGGCAAATTACCTTGATAATTATATATTCATGAATTTATTCGATTGATGATGTCTTATCATTGCAATTTCTTACAATCTGTCAGTAATGCCTACGAAGAGTTGTTGTACAAATTTTATATCTTGATCAAAAAACCACTCTTTATCATACCGAGCACTGCGAAAGGTCATTCATGAATAGGAACGGCTCAGTAGTAAAGTCTTTGACTGCAACACTGGATGATACAGATGTGAATCTTCTAATGATTATCAGTTTCTTTGAGAATGTAGATAGGTCTTGTTAACTAATACTGAAAGACCTGAAAATTGGATCCAGCACTTCAGATCTAGCATATCAGACACTAAAGTTATTTCTTACAGGATTTCATCATGAGCTGATGTCGATTAGAGAACCATTTGGAAACCTAGGAGTACTGGAAAGCCAGCTGATTTACCCTAGTTTGGGAGTCTTCACAGCACCCACCCACAGCCACGGTTCAAACCCGGGACCTTCTGATCACAAATCTGGCGAGCTCGTAGACCATTAAGCCACTGGGACCCGACCAAATGGATTCTAACTTCTGCCAATTCATGATAAAGATTGACCGCTAGCTAATGTCTTCGGCGAATATTTTTCCTCACACCCAACCTGCTACACCCTACAGGTCACGACTTCCCATTAGAACCCAAGGCAACTACCTACGTGAATAGGGCCAGTCGTGAGTGAGCATCTCATTGATATTCAAGTATTGGTTTGTAGGGATTTGATTGATTGGTTACAGGAATTCATCATGAGCTGACATCAGTTAGAGAACCATTGGGAAACCATCAAGGAGTACTGGACAGCTGTTTCGTCCTAGTCGTGAACTGGAAGAAGTTAGAATTCATGGGCTAGTCATTTCGTCGGGTCCCAGTGGCTTAATGGTCTACGAGGTCGCTAGCCTTGTTACCAGAAGGTCCTGAGTTCGAACCCTGGCTGTGGGTGGGTGCTGTGAAGAGTCCCAAACTAAGACGGCACAGGTATCCGATACTGAAATAATAGAGAAGATTTGTAGCTCAGGTGGATGATTTGCAATTAAAAGTGTTCTCTGAGCTGGTTGGTTTAGTTGCGAAGCTTTCGTCGTCCTTCTGGACAACATCTTCAGCGCCATATTTAGCGTAAAGTGAAATGATTTAAATTTCTTCATGAGTGATATAATTGCGTCTCCCGGTAACCATCTTTACATATGTGTGGATCATTTTCTGTCGACTTGGATTTTAAACTTTCTGGTCACCTGATTTACTTTTTGTTAGTGGATATATTTTGTCTATATTAACGTGTTTGTTAATTGCATTTTCGTTTGAGTATCAGGCTTCTAGGAATTCCCTGACTGCACTTTTAGTGTTTCCTCTGTTTAAGATTTTGACATTGTCCTAATCAAATTGATGACCATATTTATCTGTATGCATTGATACTAAAGAATATAAATCATGTCTTTTCACGGCTGATTTATGTTCTTGGATTCTGCTTCGATGGGGACGCCCACTTTGGCCAATGTAATGTTTGTTGCAGTTCATACAATTTATTCTGTAAATGGTATTAATTTTATCCCCTTTTTATGTTGGATCTTTTGGTTTGAATAATATCGAATTAAGCGATTTTACTGGTTTGTGTGCTATATCTATATCTAACGGTTTCAGTATTCTAGCTGTTATTTCAGAGATATTTCTCATGTATGGTAGAATGAATTTTCTTGTGGTCTTTGATGATGGTTTCTTGTTGGTGTTTTGATTCGACTTTAAACACTTTTTGGTGAAATTTTGTGGATTACCATTCTTTTTGAAGACCGTTAGTAGGTATTTTTCTTCCATTCTTTTCAACTCTGGAGTGCTACAATGTGTTTGAACTCTCTTGTAAACAATGTCTACACGCAGTTTCGTTTGTGAGTAACTGGATTATTGCTAGTATAGTTGAGTATTTGATCTGTGTGCGTTGATTTTCTACAAACTTGTGTCTCTAAATCTCCTGTGTTGGTTCTGCTGATTAAGACATCTAAAAATGGGATTTTGTTATCTAATTCTTCTTCTCGCGTGAATTTGATGTCTTCAAATATGTTGTTTATTAATTTATGAGTATATTCTAAATCACTTCTCTTAATTATTACAAATGTATCATCAACGTAACGTATCCAGATTTTCGGTTTAATTATAGGTAGAGCTATTAATTCTAATCTTTGCATAACGGCTTCAGCTATTAATCCTGATATGGGCGATCCCATTGGTGTTCCTTTTACTTGTTCATATATTTGAGTATTGAACCGGAAGTATGTTGTAAGGCATAATTTTATGAGTTCTATCCAAGTTGATAGTTGCGTTTTTGTGTTTTCATCACTATAGAGTAATTGTTGCATAGTTTCTGTTGCTAGTTTTGGACTAATTGAAGTATATAATGCTTTGACATCAAAAGACACCATTATTTCATTGTCTTCTACTTGAATGTTTTTGATTTTCTCTAAAAATTGGATTGACGAATTGATAGAATGGTCGCATGATTCTGTTAGGTAATTTAATTTCTTGAAAAGTTCTTTAGATAGATTATATGTTGGTGTTCCTGGAAGCGAGACGATTGGTCGTAAGGGAATATTCGGTCTACCATAGAATCGAGGTAAAATAGGTCCGTTAGATTTCATTCGCCACTGATCTTGTTCTGTAGTTTGTCCTGATTTCGTTAGTTTATTTAATGTTGTTCTGATTTTGTTATCTAATGTTTTATAGGGTTTTTTGTCAACTGTTGATATACATTATTATCTTTGAGTAAATCCTCTGCTTTTTTTATGTAGTCTTCTGTGTCCAGGATTACTGTTGTTCTTCCTTTATCAGCCGGTAGAATAACTATATCTTTTCTATTCTCCAGTTTCTTCAATGCATTTTGCTCTCCAGTGCTAAGTTTGGAATTATGTCTTTTCTGTTTGAGTATAGGTATGATACATTGACGTACTTCTTGTTGTACTTCCTCATTTAATTTTGATAATTTGAGTGATGATTCTAAGGAAGCACAAAAATCTGTTACTGAAGCGTCACCAGTATTGTAGTTGAGTCCTTTCTAAGAAGTAGGTATCCGATACTCCTAGGTTTTCAGATGGTTCTCTAACTGATGTTATCTCATGATGAAATCCTGTAACCTATCAATCAAATCCCTGCAAACCATTACTTGAATAAGAATTATTTCTTTTGAAATATTCTAAGTAACTTTATCTTAATTTGATTTTTTTGAGTTCCGATTGGAACATTCGACCTCAAGCTTGCGCTTTGAAGTTTAGCTATCGGTAGTGTTGTTTTAACGTGATAAGGTTGCTAAACTTACACCCAGTGTTCCCGCCTTACTGGACTTACTACTAATTAAGTCAGGTTTAAGAGAACATTAGCCGGATGGCGAACTCGAGCTACATGTCTGGTCAGCGAGCATTTAATCATTGAGCTACCGACGCATGTGGAATTTTGTCCAGATACTGGAAAACAAACTGCTTCACAATAATTTGAGTCTGCGCCCATTTAACTCTTTGGGAAAATTACTGAAATTAGAATACTCTCTTTTGTAAATTGCTTTATTCAAAATAATAATTACTGTGACTGCTATTCTGTATAAAAAGCAAACTGTTTTGTTTTAAGGGAACTTATTTTAGACGGTAATTATTTAGAAGCTGAAGGAACAATAGCTCTACTTAGTCGACTTTCGGATGCTGCAGACAAAGAAGGATTTGAGCGTACTGAAGAAATAAGGAAAAAGCAATTAGCTGTAGAGGAGGGTAAAAGACGAAGTAAGACAACGTTTTGATATTGTCTCTTATCATGTTGAAATATGCTATTCAATATTATATGATATGGTTGTAATATGGTTTTCAGTTTTTGCTATACAGCTGACTAGAAGCATAATTCAACATAATTGTGGAATACGGCTGAATTCTTTTATGACTGGCAGTGACCTCCTTAAATCTTTAATTAGTTTTATGAAAGACTGTGAAATTCGCTTTTTGTTTTGTTGATTGGTGGTCAGACTATCTTGGTTAGCCTTGGATCGGCAGACTACGGCTGATTTCGTAGGGAATGACTTAAGGTTATGATGAGAGCTGTCTGCTAGCCAAAATTGGTAGACAGCAATTTATGTCAATGTTTACGTCCCTAATCTTGGTCATGAGAAAACAAACAAAGAGCAAAGGCTAACTCAATAACCAATCACAGCAGACTTTGCGTGGGCGGATACGATTCGCAGATATACGGTCTGACCTTCAACGAAATGGCCACGAAGAGATGACAGAATAACTTTCAGTGGAAAAATGACCAATCAGAAGACGCGGTTTCTCTGCTAATTATAACGAATAATAATGTACATAAAAATATATAAATATTTCTTGATTTCCACAATAAAAGATCTGTCACCTGGCCCTTGTCTTCTGCTGTTTCAAGGTGAAATAGAAGTCTAGATCCCAGCAGCAATGTAGGGTCAGTGCTTCCCTATGGTTCAGAGACTTGGCAAGCGCCTCACGAAAAGCATTTCCAACAGGTTGTAAACTTTTTTCGACAACTGCCTTCTCTGTGTACTGCGGGTCAGATGGCTAGAAAGGATTAACAACAAGGACCTTTGGTAAGGAACTAATCAACAACATATCGACAAACAAATACGCGGAAGAAAACGGAGATGGATTAAACACATACTGTGGAGACCGTTGAGTGATATCTCACACCATACAGGCTATCGATTGGAATGGGAATGAGAGATGGCGGGTTAAGTGTTGGCCAGATGATAGTGAGGCGATCATGTGAGGAGATGAAAGCTTATGGTCAGTCTTGCGGCCAGTTAAAAAATCATGGGACTTTAGTGATATGCTGAAGAAGCCGAATTTTCCTTATAGAGACAAAGAGAATAGTTATAATTGATAGGACCTATGAATAATCTATATCCGGACTGAAACACGTTGTTAAAGCATCAAAACGTAAAACGATTGACTATATATAGGATAACTGGACGAATATTCCTGGAGAAAAAGAAAGGTTTTAAGTAAGTGAGAAGAAACCACGAAATAATAATGAAGAATTATGAACTCATATTATCCTGGTACACTTCTTATTATTCTTTCTTTATTCAAATACAGTTTGAACCATCACCGTCTGATTTTTTTTAAAAAACATTTTACTTTTTCACTTCATTATTAACAGACAGAATCAATTTAGATGCATTGCCTCCAGTCGACGGAGAACCAGATGAAAATACTGAAGCAGCTGGCCAGCCTACGTCTACATCCCCAGCACCATCAAGTAAGACAAACTCGGCAAAAAATTCTAAAACGAAAAAGAAGAAATCATCTAAATGTAAGTTGTCTCTATGCATTTTTTGCTATTAATTCAAAAACATACTTTGATGATGATGCCTTCAAAAAACCTAAACACCTAATTTGATGTCTCATGCTTTTACTTTCTGAAATATAGAATAATATAAAAATGAAATCCCTAAAAGAGTATATTTTTAGTTTTTAGAGATGAATTTATAGAATATGAAGATGTTTTAAAAGTAACAGTCAGCGGATTGCTAACTTCGGCTTCATTTGCCGCTATTGTTTATCCTGGAATCCTAAACTTTAGGCTTTATAACTGATTTACTCGTGGAAGTGGTGATTTCATATACATTGAGCATTGTTGATGCATGCCTACACCATATATCATTCAGAAACTTCATACACTTATTCCCCTTTACGAATACGAATAAAGAAAACAGACGGTTTGTGTACCATCACTTATTTCGTCAGCTTCCCATCAGCTGCGTACAGAGTGAAAAAATAATTCATTAAGTTTATGTACAGAACACGCCCTCATCAACATCATCTTCGCTCAATACTACTCAAGATCAGATGGCCAGGAAACATCAGAAACAGGGATCTCTGGGAACGAGCTATATATATATATATATGTATATATAATTACTGTATGCATATATTGATCGATTGATTTTTGTTTAAAAATGAACTCTGTGCAAGTATATTAAAATTGATTCTGTAGATACATTTAATAATGTCTTTGGCCTGTAAGCAGCTGACGAGAAGGCAACGAAATAAAAGATGGTACCAATTTATTCTGCAATAACTGTAGCTCTTGCTTTGTTCAAATTCATTAAGGGGAATAAATGTATGAAACTGTAGACTCCTGGTGAATGAGATAGTGACCTTAAGATAACTGATAGAAATCATAGCTGATCAAGCACATAAATGCCTATATACTGACAGCTAAATTTAGAGATCAAAAACTGTTATCCTAAGCATTAGTTCTAAAAATGCGACCTATTCAGGGTTGTCAGTGCACTGAAATATAATAAGTACGATCACAAATGTCACTGGACATTAGAAAAGAACACCTGACTTGTTTAATTCATGAGTACCATCTCTCTTTTTTCGAACAAACCAAAGACGTATCAGTCTATGATTTACTCTAAGACTGAAGACCTCTCACTTTATGTTTAAAACGCAGTAATTATTCATATAGCACTCATTGTATCATACACCATAATCAAAAAGATGGTTGCAGCAAAGAAAATTGTTTCTTCTCGAGGAAGTCATCAACCAGACTGTGCATTCATGAATATATAACATCACGGATTACAGTGATGAGTTCCTGATTCAATCGTAGAACGCTTTCTGACTACGCTTTTGGTATGGGTTGAAATCCCTGCCTAGCTGACAAGTTGGAAGTCAGTCGGGAGGAGCGGAAAGGTTGGGCGTAAGGCTACTCCATAGAATAACAACACCATGGGTACTAGAACTTGAAAGCTCGGGGTCCTGCCTTCCACTAGGGATTCAAAGGGATGAGAAAGATAAAACTGATTACAATAACTATGGAAACCTTTTTCTGGTGGCTGTTACTGTGATCAGCCAGCACCTGGCTGGCTGGTTGGATTCAACATAGAACTTGGCACCGAAGTGCAGCACTTCGAGTTGCCACCTTCCAAATAGCACACAAAGGTAGACAAGAAGATGAGTGAAGAGGATCAATAGAGTTTTGACAAGTATAAGAGTGAAACAGAATGAGTAGTGGTAGAAAGAAATATGAAAGATTACAGAGACTGAATACATCTGCGTAAGCCATTGACAACGATTTTGAGCCATGTCACCTATTTTCTCCAGCCATTGATTCTTAGAGTCCCGAGGGCCCCAACTCGGAAGTCTGCATCTCCCTACCTGACTCAGTTTAACTGTCAAGGATTTCATGGATTGATGAGGCCATGTTTTTGTTTGGCCACCACTTACTCTTTTCCAACCTGCACCTATATCAGCTAGTAATGCCCGTCCGTCGGGGGAGGCGATGGTTAGGCATGCGCAGCACGTGACCTAGCCATCTCAATCTATGTAACTTTATAGCCTCTTCGATTGATTTTCCCTCTTTTCCCAACACTCTACGCCTAACGTCAACATTACTTACCCTATTATGCCAGCACCATAAATAATCAATTAGTGTAAGAATATCATTATTGAGGTAAGAAGTAATTTTTGCTCATTATGTGAATACAATTTCACTCTCATTTCAAGTGATAATATAACTCACTTCCCTTTTCATTTTTTTTCAGGTTTTGATGTGTTTTCAGTTATAATTTGTTTCCTAATTTGTTTGTTTTTGTTCTGATTTATTATTGATTTTCAATAAGTCAGACTACTTGTTAACTGAATAGCAGCGCTTGAACTATTGCGCCTAATGTTCGGTAGAAATCATATCAAATACAAAACGGGCCGTATTTAATCTCAGCAGCACAAATTCCCATTGATTTTAAATGTGCTATTATTTTGTATTGATTAAACACCGTTGCTATAGTGTTTAGTTCTTAGTTTTGATCACATCCTATTGATCATGTCACCGAGTCAGGATATTTTCAACCGTAGTGAATTACAGTTTCTCTCTTGATTATAGTCACAGGCGTCGGCGCGTCGGTGACACAGAGGTTAGGACTCTTGCCGACTTTGCATATGGTCCAGGGTTCGATACCCTGCCGACGCAAACCTGATATCAATGGTCGACGTGCTAAATTTGGGCTACCGATATCACATGTTGAAAATTCCATACTTGTACCAAAAGTACGGTGTAAAATCAAGCTATAGTCAAAAATTTTTAAAAATTAAATTAAAGCACATCACAGTTAATAGAATGGCTACTTCAATCTGAGGTCAACATTGATAAAGTGGCCCACTAACTTTAGCAGACAGTGTCTGTACTTCTTATCCACGTAAAACCTTTAAATCTTCCACACTACATTTTGAGACTGTAAATGATTTGTGTAAGTAATGCTTACAGTTTTGGTGATAAAAACCAAGACAAGTAAAGACATCAGAAACGTAAAGGCTTAAGTAATCTTGTATCATCGTATTATTATCATTCCCTTAGTTCTCGAATAGAACATGGGGCTTCAGGAGCACATTTCCACTCCCCTCTGTCCTCTACAGTTCTGTTCAGCTCTTCTGTCAAACGATCTCCTTCATGTAAGCGTTGGACGCTCGACTCGTAGAATCCTATTTGGGTTCCACTCGAAGGGTTGCCACGTGCGTGGTATCACTCAATGGTTTCGTCAGAGTATTTCTGATTCTTCTCTACTTCTTTCGGTATATTTATTCGATAACAGGTTGGCTTTAGTTGGTTTGTTCTCAGAGTTTCTTGTCGCTAGTCCTTTCTAGCAGTGAGTTGCCTCTTTTCGTATTGCCTAAGAATGATGAATACGAACCACAATTATTTGTGTTAATTATCGAAGAAATTCTAAGAAAAATGTAACACTATATGTGTAAAACTTGGGCGCTGTGGTAGTAAGTAATTCCATATTTGTTTATTTATTAGATGTATCACACAGTGAAACAGTATTATTCACTGGACGACGTTTCGAACAAAATTTATTGTTCATAATCATATCAACTGTAGTCACACGACTTTGAAACTTGAGTTTTATAGTTTTTGTTTTCTCCTATTTGTCAAAGGGGTAGTAGAATTTTCCAGATATCTGGGACAGGTGTTGAATCATTCCTATTACATGTATTTGTTTGTTTATCGAATCAACTGCAAACATGTGTAATAGGAATGATTCAACACCTGTCCAGGCAGATATCTGGAAAAAAAATACTAATACTGTTTCACTGTGTGATACATCTAATAGACAAACTAACATGGAAAAATGTAACACTGTAATAAGAGCTTATTAAAATACTTGAGGGGTATTTGGTTCATCAAAGTGCGGTCAAATCTATCCCACTGTGATAGTTTGTCAAACATATCAGTAGTCTGTGTGTCATGAATAAGCTTTGTTCTTGTTTCTGTTGTTCTATTTGTTCCAGTTATTGTTACCATTCTTGTTTACTTTTTGTGCTGTTACACTTTTGCACAAAGATACCACTGAGTATGCTTTTATAATACTTTGTTTATGATATGTTACAAGAGGAAACTAATTGTCTCGTTGGTTGACTGACTCACTGGGTATTGATACATGCAATGAGAAAGCAGTAACACAGGAAGTTAAACTGAAATCTGATTGAGGTCATAAACGAAGTGATTTCATTGTTGGCACTAGATGAATTTAGTAGTTCTATGAAAGTATAGGAAGTCAGCTTAGTTTATTACGTAGGGCACTTATTAGTGGATGAGATTTCAGCAATAATCTTCTTATCTGTGCCATTACTTTCTTGGTTGAGAAAACAGAATTATAACGTCACTGACTAGCCATTTAAATGTAGGTCATCACTCGTAGCTGTGATAAGCTGTGTAATACGCCTAACTAAATAACTGTGACATTTATTCAGAGTGCCGGAAAAAGATTTTTAACTTCTGACTCCTTATATACTACTTGATGGATGGTGACGAAGATTGGGGTCCAAGATGCGCATTTAGTGCTTTTTAAGACTTATCGGTTGGATGTACCTGCATTCCCAGTCGATGATAGTATTCCCAATGAGGCTCAAACCTAGTAGCCATCGTTTCAAACGTCAGAAAGTTATCCACTAGACTATCTGGGCGCATTCTGAATTCCATTGCTAGTCACCATCCACCAGGAGCTCACAGAAGCTCAAAACAGTCAGTCAACAGGAAAAACAAATAAGACTTCAATGAATTCTTCCCACAGATTTCATTATTTTCTGTAGTTCTCTGGTTTTCATCAGAATTAAACACGCTTAGCATTTATGATTCATAAAACGTGCTGATTACTTAGTATACATGAGACAGGAAAATTTTCTGTAAACCAGAAAATTATCACAAAAACCAGCCTGACACGTAGAAACTTTATAAAAAATGATACTGTTTTTACTTTATCGCAGAAATTTGTAGATATGTAACAACAGAAGACAAGGGCCAGGCAACAGATCATTTATTAAGGAAATCAACGCATATTTATATATGTTTTCATGTACATTACTATGGATATGTAAACAAACAAACACAGTCTTCCGATTGGTTGTTTCTCACGACAAATCTTGGGAACGTAAATATTGACGTAAATTACTGTCTACCAATTTGGCTAGTAGACAGCTCTCACCACAGATACACTTTAATTAATTAAATATAATGCTGAAACAACATTTACATATCTTAATCAAACTATTTAAATGCACTGAAATGTCTTGTGCTCTCATTCATATGATACACAAAAAACTAAGAACCAAAACCCATGACTCTGTTGTTAGGCAATTGAAGACGGTCGTTAGGAATTCTTGGTACCCATCAGCAGGGCATACCTAGAGTCTGTAAGGAACTCCTGTACTTTATGACATTTGAACTCTGGCCAATCAGTCCTGCAAAGTCTGAGACGTTACCACTAAGCTATTCGGACTTGCAACTGACCTCCTTTAGGACTGTAATGGATACTTTGATTGGACACTAGGTAATAACTAATGTTATACGCCTAGTCCTTCATTTGGTGCAGACTGAACTCTTTTTCGGGTTCTATTATGTATGATAAGTTAGGCTTTCGTATACTGGGATTAAGCCGGAGGCATCATTTAGTCTAAAGTATGACGAAAGGCGTTGTTAAATAATGTTATTTTACTTGGTACCCAATGAAGACTAGGCTGAAATTATAGTATTTTTTGTAAACAACCTATCACAAAAATTTTATTCTACATTTTAAAATGTTTTACCCTTATGAAATAGTAATTTCAATATCTATTCGTAGGTGAATTGATGCAAAATTCAGTAATTAAGGAAGTGATGTTAAAGAGATACAGGCTGGCATATATTCAACATGAAATAAGAGGGTGTTGATTGTAGTCAGTAATGTTTAGTATTCACCTCATTACTTTGTTACATTAGCATTAACGGAATGTATGATTGACATCCGGATGCATATGTCGTGTAATCCTGTTGAGAGAAATAAAAACGAAAAATTAAACACCCCGTAGGAATTAAATGCTTGCTCAACCAATCATATATCCTATTATTCTACTGATAGGAAAATGTAACGGAAGAAAGACTGTAACGTTGACAGTCTCATTGAAAGCGAGATAAAGAGAGTAAACAAGCAGCCGAAAGGAATGAAAATGCATCATAGTGAAATGCCAAGAGTATAAAGAAAAGTAAAGCGTTTATATCAAACCACCACACTTATTTCTGAATATGATACCGTTGGTAAAGAATACATGGATTATAATTCTGATCACGAGCTAGATTCAGTTAGACAACAATTGTAAACCAGGAAGTACTGGACAGTTGTTTCGTCCTTGTTTGAGACTGGTCATCAGCACGCACCTCTGACTTCATCAGGGATCCAACACAGGATCATTGAGTTACGAGGCGAACTAGTGTACCATTCGACCAATGAGGTAGAATCTAATAGCCCGTGACCACCAGACAGTATTATCAGTGAGTAACCGTCCTCGTACCCACCTTGGTAAATCCCAGTGGTCACGGCTTCCCACTAGAATTTTAGGCAGCTTTACCCTGTGCTGAGTCACTAGTGAGCTCAAGGTTAATTTTTTTTTGGTGATCTGGGAGGATTCGACTGATTTCAAGATTGATTGATCCCAGGCAAGGTCATAGGTGTGTACTGCTGCGGAGTCCCAAACAACGACGAAACAACTGCGCAGTACTTCCTGGCTATTTTCCGTGGTTCTCTAACTGAAGTCAATTCCTTTTCGAAATTGGGACTAATCAAATCCTTGGAAAGTGAACAATATGTTGTTCATCATTTTTTAAAAAGTTATTATAACACTACTTATTTTGAGCAATTCAGTTAAAAATGAGATGTTTGAATCAAGTTATAATACTGGTCATAATCATCATCATCTCTTCTTTTTTCTTTTTAAGTGGGCAGACGTATGAAAAAAGGTAAAGGCAGATATTCAGTTCCTCCAGCTGGTCCACAAATTTCTGTGCTTAAATTATCCGGGAATAAAATTGATCATAATGGTCGAGGTGGGAATTTTGCTCCAGTTAGATGTATGCAACTGCTAAAAAGGTGAGAGATTCGCAATGATCAAGTTGTTAAAATTGTTCACCATTTTGTGATTTTTATTACTTTGTAGTTCCCTACTCTACAAAATTGACAATGAGGCGATGATTAACACTTTCTCAGAAAAACTCACCCTGTCTAGTTTACTTTATATATTTTATGTTAAAAGAAAGGGTGGTTATCATCAAGAATGAAAAGCTGAGTCCGCTTTTCTAAAGCTGTATAGCTGGTGTGGCATGAAAGATAAAGTAGGGGATCTCTGCATAAACCACTCAAGTAGAAGTAGTTATAGAAAATGACTTCTTAATTCTAAAAAGTCACCTTTTCAATACTAGGAGGAAGAACTTAAACTAACACTCGGAGTGTTTTCCCAACCATTGTGTTTGTAAGACGCCTGTTGTGCCAATGATATGCTAAAATATACCTTAATGAACTTAATATGCCTAATTACGCAGTCAGTCAGTAAACAATCTGACTTGTGAATACTGACAAAAACAAAAACACAAAAAGGTACTCAGCTATTTAGGAATGTGCTCTGATGAGCATTATATTTAAATACAATCGCAAATTAAGTTTATTTAAGTAAAAGATTTTTGAGATTACCTGGCTAGTAAGGCTGAACTACGAACTCTGAGTATGTGCGTATTAACAGCACAAGGAAAGGGTACAAAACAGCAATTCAGTTCGATAGGATGCGCGCCCTGTAAAACAAAATTTAAAACACCTACAGTTACCACAGACTTCTGTCTAGTTAATAGTGAGCTTGTTAATTCATTTCAATCTAATAACTGATTAAAAATGCTTATTGAAATTTTCACAAGAATGGTTACTGAACAAAGAATACTCTTCTCGATAACGCCTTCATCATCAGCTTCTACAGTTATATATACATTATAGTGAATGAATGAATTATTGTTATTAACAACATTAATGTTGTTTAAATAACATCGAATCGGCCGTTGCTCCAGGAACTTGATTTTTCCTGCTCGATAACAACTCCCAGTATGGCTAAGTAAAGATGTAGTAAAAACCATCAACAGTTCGATATTAGACTATCTAATCCAAACCGGCCAAAAAGCCAGCATTGAAGAATCCTTCTCTATCATCTACTGGGTACCAAATAAATTGCCAAGAGTATCCACGTACCACATACTTCAAACAGCTGAGGCTATCGCAATTCGCGTGAAACAACCAGTGCTTTGTGTGCAAAAGAAGCAAGTCCAGCCACTGCCAATGCCCTGGTCAGCGTTCAGTGGAGACTATAAATTCATGAATTTGTATCATCATTTTTCCTAATTCCTCTCTGATATTCAATGTGTATTTTTATGTTGATGCTACTGAACTGTAATGCATTGATATTATTATTATTGATTCGATGTTGTCTAAACATTAATGTTGTTCATAACACTAATTCATTCACAATAATGTATATATAACTGTAGAACCTGATGAAGAGTGGGCTATCGAAAAAGATATTCTTTTCTCAGTAACCATTCTTTTGAATCTATTAATTTTAGCTCTGGTTTTATTTTTGTGCTGTGGAAGGTGTACTGCATTTTCATCACAACCGAAATAAACGATTTTGTCATGTTCAATATCAAAGACTCAGTTCTATTTCTCAATATCTGTGATTCGTCTGCCTTAAGAAGATTCTGTATACGTGTAAACGATACAGCTTTAGTGGTATTTTTTAGTTTTTTACTGCTTTTTCTACTCTTATTCATTCCGAATAACCTCAAGCTTTAGGCTTTGAGGTGGCACTTTTACGAGGTGTGATTGATAGCCTCATGCCTAATCTTCCCTCTTTTCTAGGCTTACTACTGGCCAATCAAGGTTCTTTAGGAGTGTATCGACCTAGAAAAGAACCCCGTAACAATGTGCTTAGCATTCTACTCCTGAACTGCTGAGTTAAGAGGAAATTTGCAATTCATGTTTTAGTCAGGCCATATTTTATCACTGTATTAATAAAATAAAGCCTCTGACTTGATCTCTTATAAATGGAAAGGAGTACAACGAACCATCTGAATGTAAATGATAAAAAACAATAGTGAATTAAGTTTAAATTTTCATTTCTTTTTTTTTCTACACTCCTTTTCAGTATTATTTCACACAGTAAAGATCTGCAAGAAATTGATTTATTCGGTAATGATATTGGTGATCTTGCAGCTAGACAAATTTTAGAAGGTATACTGTATCGAAAAGATGCTAAACTACCACAAATCGGTGTACGTGTTGATTATCGTATTAATCAGGATACATTTGATATGGTGCATAGATTAGCACCTGGTCCAAAGAAGAAAAAGGGTAAAGGAAAGAAAGGGAAATAAGTGTGATTAAAACATCAGTAAGAAATATCTATGGAAAGGAGCACTGGTGTTTATAAGTTTACTCCACAGAATGTGTTTGCATTTAACTAAATATACTTTCAATAATATTGTAATTATTGACGTATAAAAACATATTAAACATGTATGTTTTCATATACAGAATTCTAAAACTCAAATGCTATGCAATAAACCAGATTTATTTTCTGATTTCAAGTTTTGGGGTTTTTTAATTGTGCGTGCTCATGTTATGCACTTTTAAAATCTATAGATCTAGCTACAACATGACAGTTTCCGTAACGTACTCTTATTGTGAAAGTCTAAACCAATTACTTGATCCTAAAAGCATACTACATGGTGAATTTAAAAACATTGGTGTAGTTGTGTTCACTCAGCTCGATGGTTTATTGGAGAAACTCATTTTCGTTTTAGACATTGTCTTCAGCGCAGATTTCTAGACATGGTCAGCCTTTTTTGAATTCTCAGAGAACGATATGATAAAGCTCTGCCACAGTACCCAGTTTTTATACTTACATCAATATCCGATATCTAATATCGTTTTTACGAGCTAGTGTAAACCAATTTGATTTCGTTGTGCTCGCTTCTTGATTGTGAGGTGAAGGTTCCTGGTCTTCAGTAAACTTCTGCTTAGTTCGTCCCGCCACTCGACTGTCGTAGCTTTTGTTGAGTAAAAAACGAGTGGTACTGGGATTAATTATGTGTTGTTAGTAGTATGCGGTGTGTTAAGACTTTGTTGCTGCTGTGAATGGAGTTGATCCTTTCACCAGTTAGTCCTCCAGTGTCATCGTTAAAACAAAAGAGATAATCATAATAACAGATACAATTAGTGTAGGTTATTCAGAATAAAAGACAGAAAACGAAATAAAGAAAATGTAAAAACAGACAGCTAATGAAATTTGAAGTCGACATATATATATACATATATAAGTATATCTATGTAATATCAATAACAATAATAAATGTAAGTGTAGTAGTTGGAGTAGTCATGAGAGTAAAACAGGAGAGAATGTAAAGAAGTAAAACGATGAATTTAGATGTCTACCCATTAATGGTGTATGGGATTTTAAGGGGATAGGCCGTTATGGACGCAGTCCTTGTGTCGCTGCATGATTGTCCAACCTTCGCTTAAACCTGCCCACAGATGGCGACATAGCTACATCTGCCGATAAAGAAATCCAGGGATGGCAAATCCGCTGTGAAAAGAAGTGGGGGGCACAACCAGGTTTTTATCCTCTGGTGAGGTGTCCTTCTGGGATTTCCACGAGGAAGCCTATACCTACTCAATGACAGAACAACTTTTTGGGTGATCCTGGTTATTTGTTATCTTATAGGCGGTAATCAATTGCTCGCCCCCTAAGCCGACAGTAGCTAAATGCGAATAAGCCTAGTTTCTTTAAGCATTGATCATACGGTTTGTTTCGGAGACCCATGGATCCCTTTGTCACTCGCCATTGCACTCTTCCCAAAAGGTCCGCGTCTGTTCTAAGCAGTGGGATTGCAGTGATATTATGCAATTCAAGGTGTGGTCTGACGTATGTTTTGTACAATCTTAGAAATAGCTCGGAAGTGAGTGCACTTAGCTGTCTATGTGTAAAGTGTATGACCACATATGCCCCCGCTAAATCCATCGTGAATTTCACGTTTGTGTCCATTTTTCCTTTAGAACTCGACTTATGTCGCTCTCCGACGTTGTGCAGAACAGTCTTTCGTTGCACAGGGTGTAACTTGCATTCCACAGTCTACAGCTGCGTAATTTTACTCACTTACAATTTTTCAGGTTAAAAGTAATGCTACTGACCACCGCCGAGTCTTTCAGAAGTTTTAGGTCTGCCTGTTGCCCATTTGCGTCTTCCGAGCACTATATTGCTCTCCAAATCGTCAGTGTAAAGAAGAGTAGGGCACTTAGAAGGCATGGTAGATCATTGATAAAAATAAAAAACATCAGTGGCATCAGGACAGAGCCCTGCGACACTCCTAATGACGAGCTGTGCCAGGGTGATTGGACTCGACTGACCTTAGTGCAGAATTTCCTTGCACCTATGTAGTCCTTCAACCATGACAGAAGCGGATCACCTATGCCTGCCTGACTTATTTTGGTGAACTGTGCCGAATGCCTTCTCAAGGTCTACGAAGACCATGTGGATTGGAATATTCATATCCTACCATGATCGTCCCAAGCTGATAGTGGGTTTGTTACACAAGATCTACATTTCCTGAAGCAATGTTGTGCTTCATGGAGTTTATTAGTCCTTTTGATGTGTTCTCTAATGTAATCATTAATTATACTTTCCAGTACTTTTGATACCACTGAGATTAGTGCCACTGGTCTATTGCTATTGTCAGTTTGCCTGTCCCCAACGTTGGAAATAGGGTAATAGATGGCTCTTTTCCACTCTCCTGGCAGTTTCCCTGAATCCATCGAGTGTTGGAACAAGTCACTTGAGGGCGCGATGTTTCAGATGTCATCACAGTCTGGAGTCTCTGTAGCTTCCCTTGTACTATTACCAGGTTTATTTGGAGAGTAGCCACCAGTTTCTCTTCCGGTGAAGTATCCAATATCCAATATCCAATATCTTTTTACGAGCTAGTATAAACCAATTTGATTTCTTTGCGCTCGCCTCTTGATTGTAAGGTAGAGGTTCCTGATCTTTGGTAAACGTCTGTGTAGCTCGTCCCGCCACTCGACTGCCGTAGCTTTGGTTGACTCCAACAGGAGTAGTGCTGGGATTAATTATACGGCGTCTGTAGTATGAAGTGTGTTAAGACTGTTACTACTGTGAATGGAGTTGATCCTTTCACCAGTTAGTCTTTCGGTATCGTCGTCAATGGAAAAGAGATAATAATAATAGATATAATTAGTTAAGTTATTCAGACTAACAGACAAAAAAAGAATAAGAAAACGTAACAACAGTCAGTCAACCGGTATATATATACCAGTAATAATAATAATAATAATAACAATAATAATAATAATAGGTGTAGTTAAAACTGTCAGGAGAGTAAGACTGAAGAGAATGTGAAGAAGTAAAACGACCAGTTTAATTGTCTACCTTTGAATGGTATATGTGATTTTAAGGGGATAGGCCATTTGGATACAGTCCTTGTGTCACTGCAAGGTTATCCAGCCTTCGCTTAAAGGCGTCCACAGATGGTGCCATAGCTACATCTGCCGGTAAGGAATTCCAGGGACGGCAAACCCTCAGGGAAAAGAAGTGGGAGCGCACCCGGGTCCTTGCCCTCTGATGAGCTATCCTTCTGGGATTTCCACGAGGGAGCCTATACCTACTCAATGGCAGAACACCTTTGTTCGGGTGATTCTGATCATTTGTTATTTTGTAGGCAGTAATTAAATCCCCCCTCAGGCGACGGTAACTGAGTGTGAATAGGCCTAATTTCTTCAGCCTTTCGTCATATGGTTTATTTCGGAGACCAACCACCCCTTTTGTTGCCCGTCGTTGGGCTCTTTCCAAGAGGTTGGCGTCTCTTTTAAGCAGTGGGGGTGCAATGATATTATGCACTTCAAGATGCGGTCTGACGTATGTTTTATACAACCTTAGAAAGAGCTCAGGAGTGAGTGCACCTAATTGTCTACGTGTAAAGTGTATGACCGCATATGCCCTCGCTACATCCCCCGTGTAATTCACGCTTGTGTCCATTTTCTCCGTTAGAACTAGACCTAAGTCACGTTCCGACGTTGAGCAGGACAAGCTTTCATTGCACAGGGTGTAACTTGCATTCTGCAGTCTACAGGTGCGTAACTTCACTACTTTGCACTTTTTCAGGTTGAAAGTCATTCCACTGGTTACCGCCCAGTCTTCCAGAAGCCTTAGATCTGCCTGCAGCCTATCTGAGTCCTCCGGACACTTTACCGCCCTCCATATCTTTACGTCATCAGCGTATAGAAGAGTCGGGCAGCTTAGACGGCATGGTAAATCATTGATAAAAATCAAGAACATCAGTGGTCCCAGGATAGAACCCTGCGACACTCCTGATGACGAGCTGTGCCAAGATGATCGGACTCGATTGACCTTGGTGCAAAATTGCCTTTCAGTTAGGTAGTCCTTCAACCATGACAGAAGTGGTTTACCTAGACCTACCTGGCTTATTTTGTGTAGGAGAAGGTCATGGTGAACAGTGTCAAATGCCTTCTCAAAGTCTAGAAAGATCACATGGACAGGAACATTCATATCCCAGCATGATGTCCAATCGTCCCAAGCTGATAATAAGTTAGTGACGCAGGATCTTCCTTTCCTGAAACCATGTTGGGCTTCATGGAGTATTTTAGACCTATCCAGATATTCCCTGATGTGATCATCAATAATACTTTCCAGTACTTTCGATACCACTGGGAGTAGAGCTACTGGTCTATAACTGGTGGGATTTTGCCTATCCCCACCCTTGAAGATCGGAGAAAGGATGCTTCTTTTCCATTCCTTTGGCAGTTTCCCCGATTCCATGGAGTGTTGGAACAAGTCGCATAAAGGCCTACAGAGAGCTTCGGCGCACTGTTTCAGAACAGATGGCCTGATGTCATCACAACCTGGGGACTTCCCAGGTATGAGTCGCTGCAGCTTTCTCAGTACTATTGAAGGGTTTATTTGAGGGGTGGCTATTTGGTCTTCCTCCTGTGAAATAGTCATGCCACCATTTTGGTTCGTAACGGTAATACCCACATTGCTGTTTAGCTGTTTGGCGAAGGCTAAACTGAATGTTTCAGCCATCTCCAGACTAGTGAGATATTGACCGTTTTGGCCTACTAAGGCGCAAGCCCCTTGGTTGGTTGGTTTCCTTTCCGACATGAATCGGTACAAATTCTTCGGGTTTGCCAGGAGTTTTTTAGCAAGGTTAGCCTGGAATGACCTTCTGTCCCTCCTGACTCTTGCATTGCACCGGTTCCTGAGTTCCAGGTATGCATCATGGTCGATCTGGCTTTTAGATACGCGCCACGTAAACCAAGCCTTCCTCTTTGCTTGCAGAATACGCTGCGTGCCTCTCTTTAACCATGATGATTTTCCTTTTGGCTGTGCTGTGACTAAAGGGACGGTATCCGAGATCGCTGTATGAATAATCTTTTTCACCGCTTCCCAGTGTTCATCCACAGACAGCTCATCCCATGCTAAGGGCCAGTCTGCGTCGGACAAGAGCCTCCGCATTTCAGCGTAG